TATGTAGCCAATAGGGAGGTACGCATGGCAACGACATCTGGTTCCACACTCAACTGCCGTCATGAATTCCGTTCGGCCTATCAAATCACCACAACCTACTCTGCTGTTGCTAAAAATAGTCCCGCGCTATACCGAACTAAAACATGTACCGGCTGTGGCACGCCACAGCAAGGAGCTCCCCTGCCAAGTCGTGACCGAAAGAGGGGAGCGACGTTTCGTTTGTCGTGAGATGATTAAATCTTCAATGGAAGTTGCAAATTTCGAATCTGGCAAATTGCCGGAGTCATTTACAGTCATGAGTTTCAAATTCATTGTTCCTGTACAATACTACCAAGAATAATCCCTTTTCCCGTTACAAGACAGCCTGTGTGCCTTCGTCAACAATCCATTCGATTCCACCTTCGTTGCCAATGTCGATACCCCGACATACCTTCGCATCTGGCTTCGCATCTATACCGGTTCCCAAACGAGCCGCTCGGAAAGAAATGGGTGGCTTTCTTACCATTCGCAAAGGGGTAGGAAGCCTATACGGTTCCATTCCAGCCACTCGCGTATATCATATTTAACATAATCACCACTGTTTCACTGGGTGGATCAATTGAAGTTTATGACTAGCGATTGCTCCATTCCAATAGAGCATATATTTTTGGGTGGAATGACCGGATCTTGCAGCCATTGCAAAACAGATGAAAACATTCTTAATTTTTTGAAATTACTCAGTAGTTTTGGACTTTATTTGGCTCGTGCGATGCATTTTAATCACGCCCATGTTTGTGTGGGACAACATGAGTTTGTATGGAAAACGCTGTGAAATTAATCAAGAAATGCCTTGGTAAGAGTATATTGTTTTGATGGTGGTGGAGAGCTCTTGTTCTAGTAGCCCATACCTCAAACTGGTTTCTGGTGAAAGGACGTCTATGGCGTGTTTTGCAATTGGCTATGCGCTAAGTTGGCATATATATGTTTGAGCTGTTTGATGGGCGTCTGTGGTAATGTGGATCACGAGGTTACAAATAGGCAGACCGTTGGCTGTGGGACAGGGAAAAAATTGGTCGTCTTTTGTGCCACCGGGCGGCGAGGAAATTTTGTTCAATCTTGGAACAGGTCAAGACAATATGTAAGCCGCTGCATGGGAGCTGCCTTGAAAGGCCACGTGTAAGCGCCGTTGGGCCGGCGTTGGGTGTGTGTGGTGTCCGCGCTTCCTTTAAGCACCCTGGAGTAGCGGTTTGAGCCATTACTCAACCGCTTAACCTTAACGCACCATATTCTGCCAATTATCAGAGCTGGCGACGTTGACTGCATTATTTTGTTACTGTCCATTTTGTTCCTCGTTCATGTGCCAAACTCTTCCCAGATAGTTCCTTTAGCTCGTGTTGAAAGGCAATGCGCTGTTTTGGTTACAGACCGCCTGTAAAGGAAAAAATTTTGAAGGAAGTCTGTAGCCAAAACGGCGCATTACCGTAGAGTGCGATCTAAAGTAACTATCAGGGAAGAGTGGCTGATAAATGAGTGAAAAAACGGACAGCCGCAAAAGAAAGCAGTCAACACCCCACCTCTGATGGTTGGCAGATAATGGTGTGCTGACATGCTCACTCGCCACATAGCCATTGAGGCCTTCCTTCGTCAGCTATTTTGGTTTCAGATTTTGGACGTTCGCTACCCTCCTTTGTCGAAGATTCAACCCAAACATGATACTCTGACGTCTTCTGCATGTCGCTTTGTAGATTAGACCAATCAGGCTCTGTTTCTCCTGATACATCCAGGAAATCGAACCCGTCGTTGAGACCCAATTGTTCCGTCCTTTTCAAGATGAGTTCGGTAGCCGACTTGGGATGTCAGTCCCCTTCCAGAAGGGTTGTGATCAGATCTGATCACAACGATTTTGGGTTGCGCACTTATAGCTCTGTAGAGGGCACCCATGATGGCGATATTGCAGTGTTCTTTCAGGACAATAGTGATGCCGGATTGATCGCCTTTTGGGCATCCCCCGACAACCATATCTGAATATAGCTCTGCGCTTGATGTACATTGGACGGCATTTGAGGTGTCAGTTTGGCTTCTGACTCCTTGTTGGGTCCTATTTAACATGCCGGAAAAGAAAATGAACATGCTGCTGAAACTCGGGAGGGCGTCATGGACCTTCGCCCTCGGGTGACAGACATCTGCCTTGGGCGTATCCCCAGCTGCAGTGATTTGGATGAGGGAGCAGTAATGTTGATCGCTTTGCAAGTCCCAAAGCACAAGTCAACGCAGATGTCTTGCTCATTTCAATCGCCTTCTCCGTGTATTGGACAGGTTCAAATCCGCCATTATTGTGCTGCTCAACTGAGACACCATGGGCCAATTCACCGAAAGGCAATTTGATTTACGCCCAAGTTTTCACATTCTTTAGATTGGTCTGTGTGATGAGAGGTGTAGCTTTGGAAGCTCAATTCATACAACCCACTTTAGTACAAACAGAACGTCTTCGCTGCTTTCACGTCGGATAAATTGGGGGAACCATCCAGATAACAATTAAGAATACCGTTTTCTCAGTGTCCGCAGGTCTGCTTCGCACGCCAGAGTGTGGCCTCCAAGGCCGCGATTCACATTTCTGAGTGAAATGGTTGGGCACAATTTGTTGGTTGGTCCCGTGCTTTTTTCCTGGCATGGGACCTTGCGCCAAAGTTTGACTGTGACCAACACTGAAAACTATGAGCCCAGAGATCAATCCTTTAGTGTCACCCGTCCGACGAGCAATAAGCAAAAAGCTACCGGCACTGAAGACAACAAGCCCAGAAATTTTCATTTTACTTCATTTTAGTTCACTTTCATTTTACTATCATTTACTTCCCACTCACTTTCTAATCTTTCTCCAATTTCTTCTGTTTACTTTCTGATTTCACAGGTGGCATAGGTAAAAATCAGTTTGATGGAGCAATATCGGCAACTCAAGAGTAGACCGTCATGTGGAGGAATGTCATCTGCAACGCACCGCCAATTTAATGTCTGAATTGAACAGGCCGGTCCCCCTTTAGTGGGATCCCATATTGCCTTGATACCCGTGTCAAGGTTGATATCAACCCTCAACGAGTAATTTGTTGGAGGCCTAACCGAGTTCGCTACTTGTGGTGAGTCTCGCATCGATGCACAAGCAGCGTACACGGTTAGGAGTCCAAAAAACTACTCGTTTCGTCAGCCTACCCTGGAGCCGCACTCCAGGCATGCGGATCTGCATCAAAACCGGCCAATATGCACAGATCGAGGTCCTCGATCTGTGAACATCGTCAGGTCCCCAAGCAAAGTCACCCATCGATCTGGCTCAGCGGGTAGACATCCAGTAAGGATCTGTTACGAATTGGCTCCTAGAATTGCCGGGGCATGAATCTGGCGTTATCCCAGTGGTTCGTCCTTGTCTTCTAGCGACAGCAGCTAATATTAATTAGGTTTGTGAGTAAGAATCAGCACAACATACGGGGTCGAGGCGAGGATCCAAAGTGATGGACAGAATCCGGTGGTCTTCGGCTTCTTAACAGCCGACAATCAGCGGACATGGGAAGCCATGGCGCCCTCGCAATAATGCAGTGGTCCTGGCGGTGGTGCAGACGCCGATGTTTCAAGATCGAAACCACATTGCAGATTGTGATCTTTTCTGCATGTCGACCACCTGCTGGCAGCCGGGGGCCCTGAGTTGGGCACCCTGTCACAATCCTCGCACCTGAGCTGCAGCAGCAAGGCGGACATGCCGCTGCCCATAGGTTTAGCCTCGCGTTTTGTATTTGCGGGTAGTGGGTTGGGAGAACTAGGATATGGGGGGGGGGAGAGCAGCATGCAAGAGACCAGCTCCTCAGCGGACTGTAATTGTGCCGCGCACGGAGCAGAAGTGAACATCAAACATTAGTTTATAGTTAAATTGGGCATTCAAGTGTACATTTAGCAATTTGGCACTACTTGTCTTACATTCAAAGCGGCTGAGTATTTTCAACAGCATGTATAACGTTCTTGCAGAAGTGAGCAGCCACAATATTTACATGTATAATGTGGAAAAGGCATTTGACGTGGGCATTCCCTCACTTCGATTTTCGAGACAATGCCCCCCTATGTCTGTGCGGCTCAGGGAAATTTGGCATTCCTTGAAAATTTCTATTGGCTTGGGATTGGCGCTCTGTGAAAGTAGAGCATTGAGCGCTGCTGACTAGCTTAGAGGATATCTGAGTTACTGGGATGCGGGCAGTCGACACTCTATTTCGCAATGACGCGTGTTGAGTTGATGGGTGCAAAATTTGAAGTTCGTGGAGATCTGAGTGATTCGGAAGCACGGCGGTCGCCGAGCTACTGTACTTCGCTGTGTTTAACATTGCGTTGGGCAGACGCAAATATAATGCTTCGCATAGGCCTTGGTGATTCGCATACAGTGCAGCCGCTCAGTTACTAATAAAAGTAACAGAAATTTCTGTGGTCTGTGTTTCATCCTTTATTTGCAAATATGAAATTCTGGGAGGCGCTGCATGGTACAGTGCGTATAGCGCCAGCTGGTAAACTGTCGCTTAACGTATTTCGTCTGCGTTCCATTCCCTGCTGTTACGAAACAACTAACATTTCCAAATATTTGCGTTAGCAAAAATTTCTATACGGCGGTCACCACGCGGATGGAAGCGGAACCTGTGGGAACGTACGGATGGGGTGGAAGGTAGCCGTCGACAGGGCGACATTGTTACCCACACGGCGAGCCCACAGCGGTCGACAACGAGACAGAAGCCATTATCACGGACAACAAGATAACTCCAAGTCAATCATAACAATCCAGTTGCAGCAGGGTGGCCTCCTGGCCCCCGCAAGCTCCCATCGGTCGCTGCCGAGTAATTCCGAACTATGGTCGAGATTTCATTCCAAAATCCGCAAGTTCCAATCCATTGGCCCGCCTCCCCTGGGCGCGCCACGTATTCGTGACCCTGGGGCGGCGAGCCAGGCTCGTCGCGGCCACCGCTCAGCCCGACCGCCTCCGCTGGATGGTGGCGCGCCTACTTCCCGAAGGAGTAGGCCTTTTTGGGAGCCTCCACGCACTTGCCGCTCCAGCACACCTTCACGTCCTCGCACACCTCCTCCTGCTTGTACTTCAGGCACCCGGCCTTCACATTCTCGCACTTCTTCACCTGCTTGTACTCCTTGCAAGTGGTGTTCACGTACTTGCACTCGCCCCTCACGGTCTCGTACACCTTGCACTCGTCCGTGTCCACGTACTCGCACTTCTCGACACCCTGCGCGTATTTCGTGCACTTGCCATTGTAGTAGCTGGTGCACTTGCCCTGGCTGGCCTTGCACACCTTCTCCTGCTTGTAGACCTTGCACACCTGCTTGGTGTCGCACTTTTGCTCCTGGTTGTACTTCAGGCAGATCTTGCTGGGCACATACACGCACTTCTGCCGGTAGGCGTACTTCTCGCACACCTTGGTGTCCACGTACTTGCACTCTGCGCAAACAAACGAGAGCAGTCAGAGCGCGTAATCACATGGACTGGAGGCAGCGCGAAAGGAACGGGGTGCCGGTACAACGTCGTCGGATGTTGTCAAAATTAAGGTTGCTTTGCGACATGTTTCACGAGATCTTGCCTTAGGCATATCCTACTTGGGGTTTGTGTATTTTCACCCCCTTCCCACTAAAAGTAGACGACCGAAAAAGTGACCAAGATTCATAGAATGAACCCATTGAAGTTTGCATTGCCATCTGAGTTTAAATTACACAGCCAGATTGGAGTTTGTGTACAACATGAGTGCAAATTTAGAGGCTATATTTCTTCAATGCAAGGCAATTTTGGCAATAGAGTATGGCTAGCGCTGAATGAATATAAAGCAAATCTGGGGGGAGAATATGAGGGTGTCTGGAGGTGGGACACTGTTTTACTCACCTTTCTCGTACACGCACGCTTCCTTGTCGAGCTTCTTGCACTCAAGGTCCTTGCCGTACTTCTCCACACACTCGTCCTCACCGGTGTAGTAGGGGTCGCAGTACTTGGGCTCCTCCACACACTTGTACTCAAAGCACTCTGTGGCCAGCAAAAACACGAAACCGTTTAGTCAGATCACACCTCCAATGGGGCCCAAGACACCTGGGGCTGCTGCTGTTGCGTGGACGGCCTGTCTCGAGAACCCAAGGCAGAAATAGAAGACGAAGCAGTGCACAGGCAGGGAGGATCTTTGGCCAACAATCTCCACAGCTAGGCTTTTCTGGCATCATCAAACACCAGGTTGGATTGCCCCTTACGTTTCTTGTTGGTGCACTTCTCTTTGCCGTATTTGTCCGTCTCGCAGACTGCAACAACACCAGCCGGGTGTTAGTTAGTTAGAGGTGGGCGCCGTCGAGAGCGTTTCCATCAGATGGGCAGCAAACACCAGGTTGCAGGATGCACAATCACTCTCCTGCAATGGATGTTGGTAAAACAGCTGGGAACAGGCGAACCACAAGGCAAACAACTCACCCTTCACGAGCTTGCAGACCTTCTTGTCCAGGGGCTCGCATCCGTAGTGCTCGGGGCACTCATCCTTGGCGTAGTCGCTGCCGGAGCAGTAGATGGGGTCCTTCTTGACGGTCCCAAGGGACCGGGCGCTAGCAACGGACTGCGGGACAGGAAAAAAAACTTATCAGCGCACCGTCGCTTGCCCCAGCACAGCGGCCGCCACTTCCCTTTTCTCTCCTTTAAGTGCTTTTTTCCATGCTTCTTTTTTTCATGGGGGACACCGAACAGCTCCTTGGGCACGCGGTTGCAAGGAGGCTTTCGCCACCCACGCTGCCGCGAATGGCGCACCGTCGTCCATCGACAACAGAAAGCCGCTGCATGCGATGGAACCTGGGCGCGAGGCGCGGCGCGCGGCGAGCATGCACGGAGAACGCGCAAAAATAGGTCAAACATTCCCCTATTATAATTGCCATTCAAAGGTGCGCGTGCTCCGCCGCTTCCCAGCGAGGCAGCTCACCGCCAGGGCCAGCAGCAGAACGACGGCGGCGGCGAACTTCATGGCTTGTGTCCTCGTTGTTTTCGCCTCACGCGACACCTGCGTGGGGGGCCGGCGCACGTGTCAGCGGCAGGTCGGCATGTCGGCATACGGCATGTGCATTTGCTCGCAGCGGCAGACACCCCGCCGTCTTCAGCCGCAATCCAACGCCGCAACAAACGCCCAGTTCTGAAGCTTTCGATCCCCAGGGACCACCGCAGCCGACAAGTCCTGTCTTGTTGCCACCCGCAAGCTCAGGAGGCAACCAGAGGCGGCCGTGCCCGCCGAAGGCGCCGGGACAAGGTCGGCCTGGTCCTAATGCGGCATACCCATCCTTGAGCTCCTGGCGCAACAAGCCCTCTCCCTGTTCCCATCGCTACCGAACGCCTCACCGGGAAGAGAAGAGCTTTCACCTTGACGTTGCTGTGCGGACAGTCCGCATGCGGCGGCTGAAGGGGGATAGGGGGCCTAATTATTCTGGATCTCCCCGCCAACTGACCAACATCGACGTCGACTCGCGCCGCGCATAAGAGGGAGGACCCACTCACCACGAAAAGGCACCGGAAGCGCGGCAGGTCTCGACGCTGGCTGTTTCGCAGGGGGGAAGAGAATTTTGTTGGGGCATGGCTGGGCGGGGCGCCTTTTGTGGGCGGAAGAGTGTGACTGGGCCCTGAAGCAAATTCGCCAGTTCATCGTGAAGTGGGGTGGCGCGGGGCGCCAGAACGCACCGTGTTCCCTCCCGTAAGGCGTGACATCCACGCAAATGGCGTGCCTTGCGTAATTCTGGGATTACTCGTCGGTGGCGTGGTGTGGGGTGAGCGCCTGCGTAAACAGTGGATGCTTGTCGGGGGGGGGGAACAGAGCGAAGTGTGGCAGACACCGCGGCATGAGGCGAGTGTGACCGACAGGAAGGGGTCGCACCGCGGGGCAAGCTGCGGCGGACCTGCTGAGCGGCCGTGTGACGTCGTGTACCTCAACGTGGTGGCAAGACCGCGCCCCTCGCCGTGGGCACAACGCGTCACCCACCCGGCATGTTCGAAACACTTCTACCACCGTGGAGCCAGAGGCGGCTTGGATGTGATATCACGGACGGGGTCCACAACGGAAACTGACCAAGAGGTGATGACACAACGAGGAGAGGCTGGACCATGGCATTCGCAGTTTGACAGTTCGCGACTGGACCCACGGCACCAGCAGCCAGCCCAAGACGCAAGCGAAACCGTTGTGCAACTGGGCCTCGTATTTTTGTCGGTCATTTTTGACAACATATTTGTCCAGGACATTAACGCATAAGCCTGGGGTTATTTGTTGGGCAAAAAGTTTTCTTCTTTTCTCATAGCCACCGGTCTGCTTTTCTGCATACTCCATCACAAACGCCCATGCGACAAAGCTAGCTGCTTATGTTTAGGGGAGAAGTTTAACGTTTGCGTTTCACATGTAAATATGACTAGACACAGAAATGGCAATTTTGACGTCTATATAACCCGTAAATCAACCCGGCCTCTTATCGGAATTATATTTCGCGTGGCTCAACCACAGTACTGCGCAAAGCACTGCACGATGGCGTTCGCGCCTTTGGGCCATCCCAAAGGTGGGGCAAATGGCGACCGGACGCCAGTCAAACCGGCCTAATCCCAGTCCAATCCTGGTGCCAGCGCCTCCAAAGCCTGCCCAAGAAAAAAGTTCCAAGACAAGCCAGACCGGGTTGGTACCGTTGGACCAGGATGGGACCGGACCGGGTCCTGGCTTCACTTCCCCCGGCCCAGCTCTGCCTCCCGCCCTGGAGATCCCATGGTTCCTGATGGCTATCCTATCCACAGTGATGGGCTCCTGTTTCGCAGTGCAGGGTCGTTCCTCAGGCCTGGTGCAATGGGGACGGTCTTTGGGCATTGGCGCAGCGTTTCCCCGACCAGGCGGGTGTGTGGGTGTCGCCGTGGGGTCGCACGGGCCTCTTGGGGCCAGGGTGCTTCGCAGGTGCTTCGGTGCCATGGATGCTGAGGGGTGCAGGTTTACGTGATTTCTGCCCACTAGTTGTTTATCACTATTCTGTGGGGGTTTGTACGAGTCACGCCTACTCGCTGTATTAGGAGTTCCCCTGGAACCCGATGCTCCATCAGATTGGGGACTCTCGGTATGAGTCACCTGGGCCTCACGTTGCACCAGCTTGGCGAGTATATTGTAGATCAAGGCTGCCTTTCACTATATAGATAAGTCCCATTTATTGGTGCACCGAACACTTCCACTGGCCATTCACGCATTCTGCAAGCATATGACCCAGCGCTTTTTCCGAACTGGAGTGTAATAACCAAACAAAAAGTTGATCGCCTTTTGCCTCTTGAGACATACAGAAAACGCGTGTCTGAATGACAATGCTCGGGCATTAGAGCCGTGCTCAGAACCAAAAGGCGATCCTTTTTGGCCTCATGAGGCACACAGAATACATGCTTCCTGCATCCGGAACTAGTTGTCCTCTATGACCTATGACCCCCTACTGCATGAAAGCTTCGATTTTCAATCAAGCTCCTTTCGAAGCTTCGATTTTCAATTAAGCTCCTTTCGAAGCTGTGCCTAAGTTTAGAGCTCACGTCAGAAATCAGGTAAATCCGTTGAGTGCTGAGGATACTGCAGTACTTCGTATCAAGGTGTTTTCACCTAGCAAGCCTCGAATTTCGAGGTCAAAAATGACCAAAACTATTACCCTGCTTTGCAGTAGGGCTATTCTAATATTTTGGAAATTGCGCCAAATCTGTTGGACTATTGATGTGCACCATAGAACCAGTCAAAAAATGCAATAATATCTTATTTTTTCATTGATTTTAATTTTCATCCAGAGAACTGAAGAGCAGGTAAATCGTGGAACGCGTTTGTTTCGATACTGCCATCCAACGAGTCCAAAGACCGTGAACACCCTGGCATAAGGCG